TATGTATATATATATATATATATATATACATACATACACACACCAATCAACTGGTTTCTAATTAGTTTATTAGAACATATTCCACAAGCATACACATTTATTCACACGCATACAAAATGCCTAAGAAAAGGAAGAAAAGTGGAGAGAAAGATAAAGTGGTCCTCTCCTGGATGAAAGGGAGTTTGGAGCTTCTAAAAAGCTCTTTGTTGAAGAATCCCAGCGTTTCAACACCGTGTTTTATTCTTTATACTATTCAGGTCATGGTATCTCTGCTGATTCTCAGAAGTCTGCACGCTATGTTTTGGCCTCCAACCTCTCCTTGTTTAGATCTGTCAGTTCCTTTCTTAAGAAAAGAAAATGTTGATTAGTACCAGTTCGGTAATCATGATAGATTTTGTCTTTAGCCTGCTTCTGTTTATCAGTTCTAAGAGGCATCAAATGGTGGTTGCAATCTGCATTTCTCGGCTCTTTTAATGTCTAACGTTTTGGGTATGCAGAATAGAATGCACATAAAATGCACATGGAATAAAGAGAAAATAGCAAAATCCATATATAGATGGATTCACAGAGAATACAATACGATACACACAGAGAATAGAATAAAGAATAGATATTATATATAGAAGGAATAGAGGTATTATGTAGAGATCACGACTATACACTTTCTGTCATATGCCGACCCAGAGTGTTAGTTTATGGTTCAGTGTATTACACTGTTTCTTGAAGTATGGTCCTAGGATCCCTGGGGCTCCCCCAAGACCCTCTCAGGGGTCCACAAAATCAAAATGATTGCCCAGCCTATGTTGAAAAATAATACAATATTAAAATCCCATCAAACCATCGTGAGAAGCAGTAGTGGCAGCGAATGGGTCAATTTTAATTTTTAATACGGTAAATCTTGATCCATACAGCCCATACAAACAAAAGCTCTTTTGGAGTCCTCCATAATTTTTAAAAGTGGGAAGGGGTCCTGAGAGCAAAAAGGGTCGGAAACACTGGTGTATTATGTGACCGCAGAAAATGCGATAATTTGGCAACCGAGTTAATGGCATGGGGTGAACACAGCCACATAATGATTAGAGTTGCATTCCGAAAGATATAGCAGGATCCCCTGCTTTTTGTCACAATGGTGAAAGCAGGGTTGTGCCTTGTGACTCAAGCTTCACCCTTTTCGTAAATGCATGCGACGTCATGACACCCGCGCAACACTGCAGAACATCATTTCCCTTCCTCTTCCCCTTGCTTAAATATGTCGATTTGGTCAGGAAATCAATCATATTGAAATTGAAAAGACTTTGCTCCATGGAGAGGGTTCCGTATTCAACCCTGGGTTGGATAAACCCAGGGTTTATTCAACCTGTTTATAGGGTTTATGGAACCTGTATTCAACCCTGGGTTTGATAAACCCAGGGTTAAATAAAACCCTTGCTTTTATTCAAGGAGACAAAATGGTGTGCAGGTTTTACATTTCTTCTCACAAGAGAATGAATTCATATGTCTGGCTTGTTAACACATCTACGCTGATTTTAGCATGTAGTAACCACGTCTCCGGAGAAGATGGCTTACGATTGCCCTCACATCGGCTATTCATTTTTTCCTTGATTTTCTTGACCTCCCTGCATTAAGGTAATAAATGTAGTCTGAGTCCTTTGTCGACCCAAGAATTCGGGTGGGTTGTCTTAGGTCTGTAGCAATTTTTTCCTAACAGTTCACTGCAGCTTTCAGATGGCTCGGACTTTGGTTCAGGAGAGCAGAATTAGTTGTACAAAGTCTCACAGGGGTCCTGCTTTGAAAATGACAGTATTTTAGGAAAAGATGCAGAGGAGATAATTGCATCTAGTTTAATTTCCTAGAGTAAAATGCAAGTCATGCAGAATGTGGAGAGAAGAAAGAGTCTCTAACTCAGTGTTTCTCAACCTTGGCGACTTGAAGATGCGTGGACTTCAATTCCCAGAATTCCCCAGCCAGCATGGCT